CACACACACACACACACACACACACACACACACACACACAATGCAATGAAACCCCACTGTGTGATTTTTCTACATCACCCTGCACATACAACACATTCACACCAGTGCAGAAGTGCACATTGAGCACATGAGGACAAATAAGCACATATTACAACAGAGACACATGCTTTATTCATGTGATGTGCAGGCACGCACGAGCAGCAATCTCCTTCTCTCCGGCTTTGAGACTGACTGGGGCTGCCTGACCTACATTCAGCAGATTTGTAGACAGGCAGAGAGGAGATGAAATCTCCCTTTTCTGCTGCTCTGCATCTCTCTGTTCCACGTCTTGTGTTTTTCCTCGGTGCTCGCTGCCACTCGGACACACAGYGGAGATGAAGAAGCCGCTGGGATTTCTGAGCCTGAATGTCCTCTTGCTTGCAGTCAGCGGATGGACTGTTTGAGTAAAGCAAAGTGTGTTTGATGGTGTTCAGAGAGAAGGGGGACAGCACAGGCACTGTTTTCTCTGCTCCGTAAGAGTGATTTTTCCCACTGCTTTTCAGCTTTGTAAGAATATACTGATAACCACAAATTTAGCTTAGCAGAGGGGGCAGAAATCTGATTTCACGACAAGTATACAAATTTGTGGTCATAAAAGTACTAAAATTGTGATTGAAAATTGAGAACTCGCTCATCTGAGCCTAATATCTGAAACTTGTGACAACTTGTGAGTTTTAGATTAAGCTCAACTTGTGTTGAAAACGGTAAACTTGTAGCTGTACTGTAGCCTGGTAAATACCAGCCCCTTGTTCTTCGCTTTGCTTCATACAGAGGGTCCGGACCCTCGGCTATTGAGAGGCAATTTTTTTTACTGGAGGCATGGCCTCAGTTTAAGTTTAAAAGGATTGGATCTGATTTACCCAATCGCTAACGTTTGGCCGTGATATATGTAGAGCGCCAGCTCGACTGTGAAGCTAAGTTAAGAAGCTAACCGGAAATTGCATGCGCTGTAAACAAACATCCCCTACTGGAAAGAGAGTAGTACCAAGACGAACGAGATGTCTGTAAATAAGTGCTGCAGGCTTTGAGAGACAAATTTAATTTCATTTGAAAGTCTTATCAACACAGACTGGCTTCATTCACTTCCTTCGCTGCCACTGCTAAACTACAAGCAGACTAGCCTGGCCCTTTCCTTGCTACGCAGCTCCGCTCAATTCTAGTTTCCCTTCTCTGCTCCGTTTGGGACTTCTCCCATTGACAAGGATTTCACTGGCAGATTTTTAGCCGGGCCAATCAGAGAAGAGAAYGTCAATTTTCTGYGCAGTGTCTGCTTGTAGTTTATTTTACCTGGGCCAATYAGCAAATAGAAGGYGGAGTTTTGAATGACGTCGATGTTCTGCGCAGTGTCTGCTAGTTATTTTRGCATACGGCAGTGGAGGAAGTGAATGAAACCAGTCCGAGTTGATAAGGCTTCTAAATTAAAATAAATYTGTCTGACAAAGCAGCAGCTCTCATTTACAGCCGTCTCGTTTGGCTCGGTACTTTTCTCTTCTCAGTAGGGTTGTTTACAGCGCTCGCGGTTTCCGGTTAGCTTCTTAGCTTAGCCTCCTTCACACCGACAACACACACATGCTTCAGCAGAGGCCACGCCTCCAGCAAGAAATTGCTTCTCTATGCATCAAGTCCAGACCCTTGTACAAAACAAAGTGAAGGACAGGGTCTGGTTTTAACCAGGCTACAAGCAGACTAAAATGGTGCAGAAAATCGACGTCATCGTTCACAATTCCTTCTTCTGTTCGCTGATTGGTCCAGTTGAAATTCTACCGAAGAAATCTAAGTCAATGGGAGAAACCCCAGATGGAGCATGGAAGGGAAACTAAAATTGAGCAGAACTTTGTAGGAAGGCAAGGGCCAGGCTAGCTGTATTGGTCAAATAATTAAAATAATACTATGGACATTTTTGTGTTTTGTAAGGTCAAGCAGTTTTGGCAGCCATCAGGTTGACTCCGATGGTTGATGAGCTGTTGGTRTCCTTACAATAATTATTTTCTGYAARTTTCATTCAAAGCGGTTCATTTCGATAGCAGCAAAGCAAACACACAAGCACACACAGACAACTGCTCAGCCTTCTCCTTTCAGTGCTGGACAACAGGAAAACAATTATTTTTACACCGGTGTATATGATCTGCTTTTCAACCCACAACTGAACAAAT